CCCCACCCTACCCTACACTACCCATCACTAGCCTGTCCTACCCGACCGGGCCTGCCCCACCCCACGACGTCGAGTTCCATCCAAGCAGCTACCCAGCACATGGATGCTTTTGGCTGGGTTTTCGGGTCAGGCGAACTCCCAGAAGTGAAATCTCAGTGAGGTGCGACCAGACTTGTTGAGTTTGCGCCCTCTGCACTGGTTATGGGTTATTCACCTTTTCGAGAGTTTTCGATATCTGGACTTGTTGACTTTCGCCTTTTGCCGTACTTTCGCATTTTTGACTTTTCGTTTTTTTTGGCCTCTCGTTTTCTGACTTTTTTTTGGGCATTCTCCGCTTGTCCGCGCCCGCAGCCATTTGCAAGGCAGGCAGAGCATGGCAAGGCACGACAGGACAGATGTGTGAAAGCTCCGCGATTTGTTGAGACAATGTTTGCTGAAGCAGTGGGCGGCTGCCATGATGACTATCTTGGTGCACATCATGACTTCAAACTGTGGTCTTGGTGCTCAATGGGGGGGGTCGTTGGTGCTGGAAGCTTGTTGCTTGAAGCATGGTTGGGTGAAGCACCCCAGGTTGCAGATGCAGGGCTCTTTCGTGTCGTTAGCCAAAACCGCAGGTTTTTTGCCGCACCCATTCAGATTTGAACAGAACGCAGAATGACACGCCACTGGTGACAGTTTTGTATGGAAGATTCTGCCTACCAGTCTCACTCACTGCGCTGTGCTCTTTGTGACACTGCCCGCATCTCCTCCAAGCGCCGGAAGTTTCGTAGCTCCGCTATCTCCCGGTATGCAACCTGTCTTATTGTGTTCGGTTCAGTTGTCACTGCCACTTCCTGCTAGCGAGACTGTGCTAACGCCTGCCTCGAAGGGCTTGTGGAAGGCACCTGGACAGACTGAAGCAAAACATGTCCAGCATCCTCGCTATGGCCATAGCGCGTTTCGAGGATATACACAGGATATACATGGTATGCTATTGCACCCTCCGCAATGGCGTGCCGTTTCTATCCTTCTGTACGAAGCGGCTGGTGCTTATGCTCTGGACGGGATCTCCGCTTGACATCGAGGAGAGCAGCTCGGCTGCACATTCTCATCCTCGCCCAGCTTCCCAACTGCACGGCCGCACGGCCGTGATCGAAGCACGGAGGGCTTGGACCGGAATGTTCCAAGGGACACGAGCCAGGGCACCGTGCCAAGAATCTGCTCACAGCATTCATCCCCAGAGTTGGCAGCTACCCTGAAGCCCGCGACCTCCTTCGCGACTGCGCGGAGGAACCAGCACTGACGAGTCACGAGCTCTGCCGTTGAGAGGGCCGCTGCTGGCATGCGCAGTTCACTGTTTTGCTGGCAACCGCCGCTAACCTGAAGTTAGGACGTGCGGTCTCCCGGCTGAGTGAGCCGACCTCTGTCGCGAGTCTGGACTGTCCGAACTTGAAGCCTTTTCGTGAGCAAAAGAACATTTAGTTCGGCCCTGTCTACTGTCAGTGATGCTTCTCTGTTTCAACCGATGATTCCTCACTGAGAGGTCTAAGGACTCTGCTGTCCGAGAAGACCACCGCAGTAACGAAGCAACTGCTATTGCTTGAAACAACTGTGAAGGAAGGTGACGACACAAACGGGTGAAAAAGTGTGCTTGAGCGTGCGGGAGCAGCGTACACTGCCCGAAGCTGAGTTTGGAATAGTAGGAGTAGCAATGGAGTAGTGACAGCAGCAACCATAGCACTAGTAGCAGCAGCACCAAAAGCAGCAGCAGCTTCAGTAGTACTAGCATCAGTAGCAGTAGCATCAGCAGCAGTAGCAGCATTGGTAGTAGTAGTCGTCGCGTGGCTGGGGTGGTGGACGGGGAAGGACTGTTGGTGCATCATGTCGTGTGGCCTCGTTAATCCTCGTTAGTAAAGCAAGCAGGCACAGCGTTGAAAGAGGTCCTGCGACCGGGCGCATGACGTCTTTGGGCTTGGAGTGAGCGGGTACAGCAGGGTACTGATGGGATCTGGAGGATGTCTTGTTTCCACCAGGTTGATTCTGCGACCTTTGCTTGTCCAAACGTTTTTTTCCCGCTAGTTTAAAATTTCGGCGGGTCCTTCTGGAGGCCCTCGGTCAAGAGAGAAGCTGACAAAGTGGCATCAGCAAGCACAACAAGCATCAGCTCAAAAGTCTTGTGAGCTGTAAGGATAGCAACAGAAGCAGTTATGGTCGCTGTGACGCAGCCATAACATTTGTAACACGACAGATCCCAGACTTTCATCACCATCATCTGTAAAGTACTGTCAAGCAGGAGTACAGACGTGCCATGCTCCGAAGTCTATTCTTCGCTTCTTCGGTCTGCACATGTCTGCGCCCGAAGACCATGATCCCTCTAAGTCTCCTCAGTGTGGTCCCCGAACTCCTGAGCCTTTCGTCTGAAACTCAGCACAGCGACACGTAAAGAATGCTTGCCGCTGTGAAGAACAGCGCTCTGGTACTACCAAACTACACATCATGGCTGCCATGGCGACAACTTCGAGGTCGGCACGGCCGTTAGTCTTCACGTTTGCACGACTCCGCCGCGGGCGGCAGAGGTCCTTGCATCGTTGAGTGCCAATGGGCAGAGGAGCTTTGGTTGTTTGATGATGCTTGTCGTTGCTGGCGACGGTATGCTTCAGTGACAATCGTTTACCAATGCTAGCCGATGCGCACCGGCTCCAAAGGATTCATCAAACTTGTTCGTTTTGCGCGTGCCTCCAACCTCACCACGCCCTTAGGCGTCTGCACGGCCTTGTGTAGGGTTGGCCACAGCACATGGCAAAGAACATTTCAGGACTTGCAGCATCCACAAGCTCTGAGGTTCCTCTTGCAGCCAGGGCACCATACCAGCTGATGGCAATGTTCCGGACGAGCCTGCCCTCGTAAGCCTGTGGGCAAGGATCTGGTTTTGATATTCTCTTGACTTCAGACTGCGAGCCTGGCACTCTTCCAGGACTGTGCTGACTGCCCCAGAGGAGATGTTGACATTCTGCCCCAGGATTTGCCACTGGCCAAACCCCAGATCGTACTCTGAGCCGAAATATAAAACCAGCCCAGCTCTGCGCTTGGTCGAAATGTCCATTCGGACTCTCCGGGAAAACTGGCCATGGTGCTCGCATCCGAAGATGTGAGCACTGAGAATGTGTGTGCGGAAACGACTAAGCACGCTCGAACAACAAGTAAAGCAAAGTCTGAAGGGCACGGCAAGCAATGCTGCTCCGTATTTCGCACGGCAGGTTAACACAGGCCAAACAAGCTCATGTAACATCGAGATAGTGAGGTGCACCCGAAAGTCCGCAAGCTCTCCCAGCTTTCCGAGCTGGACTGACTGATGAGCGGCAACCGGATCAGGGAGGACCAGGTTCCTAAAGGATTGCTGGAGGCGCTTTGGGGGCTGGAGCCTCTCACCAAGGAGGCTTCTTGGTCGGCCGTCTGTGACTACAAAGAGCCGATTGCCGTTTTGAGAAGATCCTCGCGAGCAGAGAAAGTGAGGTCCGGGCAAACATTGTGGTTACTGGATCCCACCCCCATCTGCGACACCTTCCGCGAACCCCGTTCCTCCAGCCCAGATGAAACCGAGGACAGCGTACCGGGTTGGCCAGAACTTTGCTTTCCTCTCCTCCTGACTGGAGCGCCGCACGTGGTCACAATAGTTGATCGCCCAGTTACCAGTGTCCCCTTGTGGCATGCAGTCGCCTTCCAAGCCTGGCTGGAGGTTCCGATTCGGCTGTCGACATGAGCCCGTAACATGTTGGGCCCTCAAGGAGGACTGATCTGGGAGCGGGTTCCGAGGCGTTCCAAGGAATTCGGGAGTCTTTGCAGGTGCGCTGGCCCCACATCACAAGTGTGGCCTCGCGACGATCGCATCGTACGATGTGGCGCGCCACAGAATAGGCTAGCCGGACTTCTTTATCCATCCCATGCGCCTTTGCTTCAGGGCTCTTGAGCAAAAGCGGAGTCATTCCCTCCGCTTCCCTAGTCAAGCTCACTTTCGTCGTAGTCTGCACTATCATCCTGGCCGCATGTCGAAAGCACTTGCAGTTTGGCAAAATGGCAAACATGGCAGAGTGTCGTCCTCCACAAGGCCGGTGCTGGTCCTGGAGACATGGAGGAGAGCTGGAGAGTGGGGATCGCTTTGTCGGCAGCCAAGGAACTTTCTCACGGTGACAGCCTCACGCGGGAGAATTCTACTCATGTTCGCCTCTTCTAGGGTGATGCAGGTGCAGAGATATGCAGAGGAGCGTCTTTCTGAAGTCTTGATGGCGCACTGGTGACTCGGCTGTCATGCCTCCGACGGGACTTGGTAAGTCGCCATGCTTCCCTTGCCGCCGATACAGTATATCCTGCTCTGTAGCGACCGAAGTGGTCTAGGTAGTCTACGTCTCGATCCTCAGAACCGCCGGCAGTACACATCAAGCTCCATCTACCTTTGTCTGGTTATTTTGCTTGGCAGTTGTCAACTTGAATTTAACTGCATGCTGTCGCTTTCCAACACGTGTGCCTGTTGCCACTGGACGTAACCATGATAGCAACGAAGACGTTTGGAGACGAGCTAGAGAGAAAGCAAGCCCAGTAGACTCTGCGCTGCTGTGACCTCTGTGCCGGCTCCATCTTGTCTTGTTTCACCGCAGATGCCTCAAAGCTGTGATAATATACAGAAGACATCAGAAAACAGTTGTCATTGACTTCTGTCTGTGTCGCCAGCCGTGGCCGCTTCAACACGCTGCAACTCGACTTTGGCCTTAGGAGACTGTCGGGAAGCCAAGGCGACGGTGCAAAAGGCGACAGTGCAGGTGGTGCAACGACCGGACAGTGGTCCACGCCTCCGACGCAAGCTTTGCAGACATCTCAGAAGCCTGCACTCAACAGTTGCTGTGCTCGAAAATTGAAAATGCAAGCCGAGGAAGACATGGCTTGGCCGGGCAGTGTATTGCTGGATTCCGGCAAGAAGCACAACTATGTCTAGCTTGCTGGAAAGCACACATTGCAAGGCAATGTTCATGTTCTGAAAGCAGAAGTGTACAGTGAGCGGCCAGTGTGCGCAGTCTGGCCATGACCGACCAACGTAACAACACTATTTGCGTTGCCACTGCAAGCTAAGCTTCCAGATTCTCATCGGATACTTACTATCGGCGTGAAGACTACGAACCAATACTGGCGTCGACCAAAATCAACCTAGATGTCCGGAAGGCGAGTTTCATGACTTAATGCTTCATCTTGCCTCGCTGCTGTAGGCGAGTTAATCGGGAAAACTGTTGACAGTTGAGAATGGGATGCAGAAGCAGGATGCCATGACTGCATGTACGCAAAGATCCAGGGTTGGATTGAAAACATCTGGCATTCCAAGGCATTTGATGCTAAAACTCCTGCCTTCTTTGCCTCTTCGCGCCGGATCTCGGCTTTCTGCTGTGCCTGAATTGCTGCCTCAAAGCGATCGCTCGGCTGTTCTGGCTCTAGGTCTCTACGTCTTCTGCGTCAGGTCATTCCAGTCATGCATCTCTTTCGTTGGGCCACCTTCTCGATGGCGGCAGCGCTTTGCAGAGCCTTTTCACTAGCTTCCTTTGCAGCCTTCGCGCCTTAATCATCGCGCGGACGCAGTGCCATCATTCATCTGCTTGGAGGCTCTGTAGAGGTCGAGAGGCTAAAGCCAAGGACACCTTGAGTTTGGGCAGCAATTTCCTCGTGACATCGTTTGTAGGCTGCACGCACCGCGATTTTTGTTCTGGCCAGGAAGAGAAAGGATGACAACACCAAAGCGTTTGCTACATTTGTTACCTGTGCCCAGCAAAAGACAAGCGCAAACGAGTCCTTCAGCTGCTGTTGCTGCTCGCGCACGACCTTGCAGGCTGAAAGAATTCTTCCAGTCGGCTGGTTCGATCCAGAGCACCCATGGATCTCAGGAGCCTGCACTTCCAGGATATTCATCCCCAGGGAATGACTGCAGGACATCCTCCCGGCTTTGCATCTGACAGACTTCGAGGACCCTAAGGTTTGCCGGGTGCTCAACCGAAATGCGAAGTCTGCACGACCATGGTTTTTCTATCCTGTACCTGCCTGGCTCTGCTTTGCAAGCAGCTGCTGGGTTTCCAAACTCCTCGCACAAGGCGAAACCGCAGGCTACTCGACTCAAGCTACTATCTAGAATTTGTGATAATGCTGCTGTGCATGCGCCGCACTATTGCTGACCTGGCTTCTGTCGTGCTTGCTGCTTTGCGAAGTGGCGCTGCTTCCCTAGCGGGCGCTGTTTCCGTGCGCTCCCATCATTTTGATGCTCAGGATGCTGCAGCGTTGCCCGTGTCGTCTCCTCATACAAGCCAGTTTTATTTGCTTGTGCAGCTTCCTTATATTACGCTGCTACCTTGTTGAGACTGGATGTTTGCAACAACCTGTTAGATTCTATTGAGAAAATAGGTAGTTCTGTCACCGATGAACCATTTGCGGCTGACCATACCGTCAACCCGTACAGAACATCAGAGGGGTCTAATGGCTTGGTGATCGTCGCAAAGGCAACCGTGATGCCTGTGCTGGTTGCAGTGGTGATGAAGTGTCTTCTGTCGCGCTGGAAATGCTTCAAGAGACTCGGGTTTGGCGCACAGCAGTTTCTGAGTGTCAGCAAGCAGTTGGTATCATGATAACTTCCGTCGCCCAGCAAAGGTTGCTCGCATCCTGAATCATCAGCCCTGGCTACCGTTTATCTTGGTATTCCTTCCGTCCTAGTTGGAGGGGCATCGCCTCAAGCTCGGCTGCTGTGAGAAATGTCAGAACGTTGACTTTGTGCCTTTGGGCAAGCTCTTGAATATATGATGCAGGCTAGCAGCACCGGATTTTGTGACCCATGACTGCGTGCAGCGGTGGTTTAGTTTCGGTGTGTAGGCAGGCAGGTAAGTCTGTGTGTGTGTACGTACACGTCTTTGCCTGCGTGTGCCTGCCTTTGTATGTGAGACATACACCGGGATCGGGGCAAACCGGCAAAGTCAGCCGTTAGCTGTAAGTCGTGGTGATGATCTTCGGCAATTGTATCCCGAGCAGTCTTTTGCAGCAGCGTGATCTTGGCCTCAAGTGCGACTGATGCGGATCTGGGTTCCAGCCACCTCCAGAGCTGAGCCGCCAGCGCGATCGACCTCCGATGTCTTCAGATCCTGTGCGGGAACGCAGTTTGCAACGTGCAGTGTGACGGCATACGAGAACGGGCCTTCTGGATTTGCTCCAGTTCTGTTGCCGATGCCACTTCCTTCCAATAAGATGAAAGGACTCGCACGAAATTGACGGCCAGCGCGCAGTGAGAGTGAGGGTGGCTGCTGCTCACGTGGTGTTGCCCTGATCCGGAGCATGCTTTTTGAAGGGCTCCGATGAACTGGGGCATCTCCCTTTTACAAAACACACTCAGGATCTTGCATCACTGCTCAGGGGAGTCAGCGGCGCAGGCGAGACGAGAGCGGGTCCCTCTTCGTTTGCTTCGCTCCTGTGGCGACGTTGACCGTGCATATGCAAATTGCATGCTCTCCAACGGCACCTCCGCAGAGCCCGCTTCTGCAGACCATGCCCTGCACTTGCTGTGCAAAGGGCCTGGCCAAGACGGGCTCGTCTCGATTTCTTCACTTCCGTGACATGTTTGTCATTTGACAAGTCTTCATTAAGGCGCCGACGAGGAAACACCACAGCCCCAGCCGCGCCATGGCCAATGGCCGCTTCGTTTGATGCTCAATGGCCAACGGACATCAAATAACGCCAGCAGCTCTTAGCCGGTACGAGCTCGTAAGGAAGGGTTGGAGGAAAGGTCCAGTCCGTTGAGGTCTCCTGCCTTGGAAGCGACAGGACAGCTATTTCGATCATTATCTGTGCAGGTAGACCGAGCCATACGTGAAACCAGTGACCAGTCCTGTCCGGCATCTGCCATCTTCGGCTTTACTCCTCTGTCGTCGCATCGACGAGCGTTTCGTATCACTGGTCTGCTGCTCTGTACGGCATCGTGGCGTGGGCATCGATGGGAAGTGTGTGGAATTTATGGGATAAGCCCTGCATCAATGCTTCCAGTGCACTTTCTCACTGCATCTACATCTGCTGTCTCCGGCATTCAGAGGTGCCCACAGAAGAGCTGTGGCTTCCCTCGTAAAGAAACTGCTCAGTCATCAAACATGTCCAGACATCTGACTTGCAACTCTGGCAAGAAGACCTGGTCGCCTTAGGCGGCATCACTTCAAACAACAAATCGTCTTTGCAGCTCCGAATTGAACTCGAAGAGGAAGATGCCGGGTGGAGTGCAACTCTCAAGGTACGAATTCGCACACACCCATTGCAGACCGCACGAACGTGCGTAGCTGGAAGATGCAGTTGAAAAGACACCAATGTGTATATAGATATATATATAAACGACATCGGCGCACATGAGAGGTTCATGTGCAGCACGAGGTCGTGAAGCATGCAAGCTCTGCCAAATCCAAAGGATATGCGAGGTCTCACAATGGGGCGCCCACGGTCTGCAAAGCATGAGTTGTCGGCTCGTGTCAGTCGCGAGACTACAACTCGGACAGCATTGCTTCTGGAAGCTCAGATGCTCTGTGACGACTCTCTGGTTTCGATGATAAGCACATTCAGATGCAGGGACTTACCATGACTTACCAATCCGCCTGCGTCGCTAGGGCTGTCCCGATCTTGGCCTTCAGGGCTTCAAGCTCCTGGGACTGTGCCTGACAGATCGGGATCCGTCTCTTCAGGTTGACAGCGTTGATCTGCAAACAACGTCTGAAACGCCGAAACACGAGCCCCTGATGTCTTTGGGCCTTCTCGGGCCTGTTCAAGGGTAGTCAGTGCCCCCAACGCTCTCCTTCCTAACCTTTTCAGAGCCTAAGAACAAAGGCCAAAGAAGTGCAAGCTTCGCAGCTCTGAAGTGATTTGGTAAGGGGCGGAACGCACGCAGATGTAAGCAGGGAGGCTGAGAGCCCTCTCGATAGCTAATAGGGCAAAGCCGGTCGACAGCTCTAAAACCGCCACAAAGAGAACTTCGGCACCGATGGCCTGGAAGTGTAGATCGCCATTCCGGGATTCCGTGGTTTGCGTTGGATGTGCATATTTACATTTCGCTCGATGATTTAAGGCAAGTGATACCAGTGTGAGACCGTTGCTGAAAATTCGATAAAATTCGTACGGTAGCAGAGCTCTGGTCGAAAGCCAGGGTCTGCAATGCTAGACAGAATCGCACCGGCCGTGAGCGTGACCGGCCGTGAGCATGACATTACTACTCGCCACCACATTCATGGAACCTTGAAAGGCTAAAACGCAATGTCGACTTGCCATGATCTATTTAGCAACCGCGGTCTTCGGTTCAATTTCAATACTTCAAGTGATGGCTTCGGGATTTGGCCGGCATTGTGTGACTTCCATTGCCCGACTCACAGGGTGTGATCTACTTGACTACGATCATTGATCACGGAGCGTGTGATGGACGTGTACTAGTCCAACTTGGCCGTGTCTATCGCATGAAACAGCAACTAGAAAGTACTAGAACACATCCTGATGACGATTTACTTGTGCAGCTGTTTATGACAAAGAGCCCAGGACCATTGCGGCACCACCTGAGGCTGAATGTTGAAACATTGACTGCTCTCGATCAGTTATTGATCGATCAATTATTGAGGACTGTCACACAGAGGTCTGGCATCAAGCGCAGTGTCGGACTCAGATGTGCAGTTTCCTACGCACCTTTCAGCAATGAGAACGAGGTACAGACACAAAGGACAAGGACAAAACAAAGGACAAGGACATCAAGGACTAGTGCCATATTTCCACTGCGGCCCGCATTCACATAAAGCAGAGCGGAGTGATTGATGAGACGGACGAGCACTGCGAGTATGAAGATTGGACAAATGTTCGGTATGCTGATTAGCTTTGTCATGGGCACCGGTCAGGGAGCATGTACTAAAAGCAAATAATTATGATATAAATACGAGAACAGATACACGAACAAACAAAACATTACTACGATAAACTACGAGCAGAGTGTTCGACGTCAAAACGGAGTACAAGAAAAGTACGAGAAGAATACGAGCAAACAAGTATCTTGTATTTCTCTTGCATCTTTCTTGTAGTATCGCTTGTACTTTTCTTGTATTCGCTTTACAGACGCATGGACGTCTTGTATTTCCGCTCGTATTTTCCTTGTAAGTTGCTCGTAGTTGTCCTGTATTGTCTGCTGCTGCTGGATTGCCGCTCGTATTTCCGCTTGTATTCCCACTCGTATTCATTTCGTATCTGAATCGTAATCAAATGCATGCTAGTCATTCCGGAACATGCCCCTTGCAAGGTTGGCTGAGGCTGATGACAACGCGCTCCAGAGACAGCTGCGGCAAGCATTGCTGGCTTTGGTCACCCGGAAAAAAAGACGAAGCTGAAGTGCAATCGCTTCCGCGGGCGCCTGCTGCGGTCCCTGTTCATAGGAGACCGCAGAGGCATTGATGCTGACTCGCATCCCTTTCATTTGCAATCCGGCATTGTGGACACGGCTTGGATGTTGTTCGACAGTGGAGATTCTGATGTTCGTGTTCCTCCTTGGCTCGCCGGAAGTTACCCGCTGGCGGTTGCACAGCACTTCGACCCATTTCTGGTAAGACAGTATGAGCATACTCGGCAAGGTCTCTAGATTTGCCAAAAGCATGCATGACTTGAAGCAGGATGCACTCGCAAATCCTGTGCAAAGTTATTGAAGGGTCGACCGACACTGAGGCATCCATCCAGAATCGTCTTCGGTCACCGTCAATGCGGAACAAGATGGAATTGTTGTGGCCCTTCCATACGATTATAACTCATTGACCAACATGGACTATTGGCTGCAAGTTCCCAGCTGGGATAGCACATTTGGTGCTTTGTTGCGGGCAGGTAGGTGCACGTATATTGTGTTCAATGTGAAGACTTTCAGAGTATTGGCAGAGAGATGGAGGACCGATGGTACAGTATGATGTTGTTGCATCCGACCAAAACCTCGTAGCTGGTGGTTCCAATTGATGAGGCTTCGCGGATATTGCAGACCAGTGACCAACAGTTCTGTTGCTGATGGCTTCCTACTGAACAAGCTGGAAATAGCAAAAGCATGAACTCATGCAGCTTCCATCAGAATCTGGCTGTCACTGTTGCACGATGGCAGGGAAGCAAAACGCAGGCATGCCGCTGCAAAGAAGCTGACTGAGAGGCAACGCGCCACTTAAGTTGACCATTGCTTCCAAGGCAAAGAGCCTTCTACACCCGAAATTTCGGAGTGGAAGTAGAGTGGAAGCCGGAAGGCCGACAGAGGGTGGTAGGATCATGCAAAGAAAGGCGCCCTGAACTGCACAGGAAACAAAACTTGGCCAGGGCAAGACATGGTCATGAATGTCATGAGCAGACGCAGCCACACCGTAGCCTGCAATCGCTCTTCTAGATCTCGGATCACCTCGAACGTTGTCGCAACAGCAAAGCATGGAACGGCTAAATGCTGCGGAAGGCCTTCCGGAGCACCTGCGATTCAGCCTTGTCGCCGCAGCCATACAGTCCACAAACGCTGAAGTCACCTTAACTGCTACCGTTCATGCTCGCTGGCTGGGACTGCAGACTCTTCCAGATTAACAGGGTTGGCATATTTTGCAGCTGCAATTCGAAGCTAAGTTGCTACGCGCACTGCCGCTGCGTTCCTTGCGGGATTGCGATATTTAAACTTTAACTTTAGCCAATCGCAAGCACGCGGGGGCAGTGCTGCTGAGATCTGGACGGAACTAAACCGCCCGCTTCGCCGAGTCAAATCAGCCTGTCTGAAATCTGTCAGGCAGGTGTCACTTGAAAGGAAGCGGAGTAAGAGCGCCCGATGATGGCTCTTTCATGGCTTCAGCATTGCTGCAAACAGTGCCTCTTGGACTCCTGAAGCCGTAGTCTGCAACCTGAACACATGACATGTTCGAAGATGTCCGAAACACTTGCGAGACGAGGGGCGAAGCCACGCGCTCCCAGTCGGAGATGTCCACGGAGTCCAGGCTTCCGTCGGAGAAACTGCTGGGGCTGGGGCTCAGACTTCCTGGGCGCTTGGGAGGATGTTGACAGCACGAGCTGAGGCTGAGGTAAGCCGAAGAGCTGGAGCCGGACCGGGGAACAGCTTGAGGTCCTCGGATCTGCGCACCCTCTCGGCCTTGGACTTCTCCCGGCAGATGCGGCGTACTGATCAGGAATTCCTGAATGGGGAACTGCTCGGACGCAGTAAAGCGCAGTACTTGGCTCGGACTTCTGTGATCACTGCGCGCACAAGAAAATTAAGAAACCCAAAGGTCTCGTCATGCCACGCCTGTCCCACATTGCGTGCTTGGAGTCCGCGTGGCCAGGATTTCTGGGGTGCCAAGGCCAATTTCGGCACCTTCACGGGTCGGACCCGACCAGCGCCAGTTCGAGGAGTCAGCAATGGGTGATTCTCAGGAGGCGCCGGGAGAGGTGGAACTTCCACGTTGGAGCCAGGCCAACGCCGCATGCCGAGTCCAGATTGCGTGTCTGACCGTGCAGATCCTTGTCCTCCATCTGATGTCGAGCTCTTGGCATGGGCTCTGTCCAATGCCAATCTAGGTACACAAGTGCTGCGCCTTACCCGCTCGGTTTGATAGCCCGTGTCTGTGTGTTGATCTTCTGCACTTGGTACGGAGTTCTCCAGTCGCTGGGGAAGGCCCCACAGCACCGTCTTCGAGTCACCCTGCAAGGCCTTCCAACATGGAGATGCCATGAAGTCTTCTTGGCGAGGCTGTTGCATCCTGCACATCCTCGCCACTGCCGGGCATAACTCTTCGGATGCAGGAACTTCGAGACGGTCAGCAAAATCAGCGACGACATGGAAACGGCCTTGAACTGCAGTCTTCTCTTCCCTGCACGGTGCAGGCACGCAAGCCATTCCAGAAAAGGCCTTTGACACTGACACTCTTTCCGTATTTTCCGTTCGTGAGGTATGGGCAGAGAAGCCCTTTCCAAATGATTGCAAGTCGCGCGTGAAACCTGCGATCGCTAGATCGAAACCTGTCTCGGGGCGTCCCGGTGTCACCGAAGCTCTTGGACATTCCAAACTGTCGGATGCCCACCCCATCAACTCCTCGCTCATCTCGACACTCCCGACTCGGTCACTTCTGGAGATTTGGCCAGATGTGACCGAAACGCATCCAGCCAGCGACACCGATTCAGCGAAAGCAGCTACGATTGGGGCTCCATGCGAAGCTTCCTTCAAGTTGTCCTGCCCTTCCTCTTCCCAGTGGGTCTGTGTCGCGGCCTCAAACTTCAAAGCATCACCTCAGAATCGAAGAAGCAGAGCGCTGCATGAGCCATTGCTTGAGGCCACCGCTCTGCACTGGACGCAGAAGGCTCTGTTCTGCAGCGAGCCAGTTCTCTCGCTCGGACCTTGGGACGGGCTGACGAGCTCGATGACAAGCCCTGGCTATGATAAGCTCTCTTTCACCAAGGTGCCTCTTCCCTCATCACTCTACATCTTGATTATCTTTCGCAGACTTGTGGAGGGACTGGGACGCAAGCTAGGGCAGAGCAGCAGTGGACAAGCCCGAGGCAGGCAAGCGGACTTTTTAAGGAAAAACATGCCGCCGGCCGGAGTTTCGCTGCTGATCTTGAATGGCTGGGCGGAAGAGCTTGAGCGTGGGAAGCAAGCCACTCAAAAAGAATCATGTCCATCATTGATGCCCGGCCGGGCCGGCGCAGCGAGCATTATGAGCATCATTGGCGGCTCGTTTCTCCGTTCCAGGGCAGCCGAACCACTCCCTTTTCATGCCCGAAAAGAAGGGGGTCTCGTCAGGTGGGTAGATGCAGCTCCGGGTGCAGTCTAGCTCGGGAGACCGGCACCGTTTGGTAGTATTTTGGGGGGGCCCTTTCCCCACACCCCTTGTTGCAACCTTCGGTTGATAAGAAACTCCACTAGCCCCGGAGCTTTCGTGATTTTCGCAGGGCAAGGTTGCATTCGCCCTTGCCGGGTATGTCGAAAATAAGACAGGGCAGAGTCGGCGAGCGAGGCCACGCGCGTGGGAGCGCGCTGTGAAGATAGTGATCCTGGCGAAAATCTCCTCCCGAAGGCTGCTTGCTGATCTTGTTGTCTCCTTCTCGATAGGATTCGGTAAGCTAGGGGAGCTTGGCTGTAATCCGTGCACGGATTCTAGAATATGTCGGAGGAGGTTCGATCTCTCCAGCCAGTGTCCCCGATAATGTCCTGAAGTGCTTCATGAGCAATGCCTTCGAGCCCATTGAGAGGCGGCTGTCGTGGGCTCATCCTCCGAGAAAGGTGCGGAACCCCACCGACACACGCTCGGCTTGGGAGAAAATCCACCGTAAGTTTCTCGTTTCCGAACCCTCTCTGCTTGGCAGCGGCTTTGGCGAGATTTGCCATCCATCTGTTGTTCTCGACTTTGTGCTTCCACAGACCATGGGGGACTGTGCGCATCCCCCGGCGACATGGGCCCCCATATGTGATGGAGCTTTGGGGAGATCTTTCAAATTCAGCACAGGTTTGCATAAACAAACATCTTTCCATACTTATGTTTAGAGCAGCACGCAACTTGATGTCCCCTGTTTGTAGATGGACACCTGCACGAATTATTCTGCTCAGTTGTTCCCCGAATATAACTACCACCTCCATCAAGCTAGAGAATCAAGATGCAGGGCAAGTTGTGCAAAGTTTTCAAGCTCTTCCACGGTTTGTCGTACTGGTCGCCATGTTCTCTCAAATTCTTGGTTCACTGTCGCATCAATCATAACAAACCCAGAGGTTCCCCATACATGGCGCCATGGTGAAGGGGAAGCTGCAGCGCTTCAGGCTTTAGCTGGTTTTTCTGAGCCTGTTTTGGTTTTGCTTTACAAGGCTCCACTGGTTTCCGGGGGGCTGTTCCAGAAGAAAGACAGCTACTACAACAACCAACACCTAATGCAGAAGTCCAACAGATAGCAGATGCTTGATAAAGTTTTTGTCTGCCAGCTGTAAGCATCACACACGCAGGACGCGACTATTTGTACATGCCGGGCCCCGACCGGAAGTGCAACACTGCAGTCCAAAAAGCTGAACACAATATGCTACGTAGCATGAATGGCGAAACCTACACGATTCATCTTCAAAGTAAGGACTTATTTACGTTAGAGCTAGATGTCGATTTCGCGAAACAGCTCGACGCAACATGACTGCAAAGAATGAGCCATGAAACAAACAACTTTCTGCGAACAATCCCCTCAAGGTCAGCGTTACAAATGCCCCGCTCAGTGTAGTCTCGCTCAAGTGCGCAACCGGCTGATCGGGTAGTAGTGCTCAAGTTCCCCTCCGTTACTGTGCATCTCATGGCATCTGTTACATCCCACGCCCATGGAGATGTACTGCCAGCAATCGTCTTCGTCGGCGACTATCATTGGATTGTGTGTCTTCGTCGGGGGACGAGGGGCTCAAGGGAGATAAGAAGACTCTCTCTCTCTCTCGCTCTCTTTCTCTTTCTTTGTCTGGGGCGTGTAAGGCCCTTCTCTCCCTTGCGATCTCTTTTGCCGCAAGTTTGCAAGAAAGAGGGCGGATGCTGTCCGACAGGGTCTGGCAATGTGAAGGCCAGGAGGCTCTCGGATTTGGTGAAAAGTAGTTGAACGAGGGGCTGCAATGGGTCAAGACTTGCACATCCTGCACCGAACAGACCAGCAACCTTGCTTAGCTGCTGACATCCATGGATGTTCTTGCCAAATAAAAAACGCCCGGCGACGAGTCTCCTCGACGGCGCGCACGAGAAGGCCTTGTCCGGTGCCTCCGCAGGATGAACAGGCTTAAGCCCTGGGCGGCCCTGGCACTTCACCGCTGTACTTCGAAATTCGATTTGTGTCCTTGAAAGATCTCCAAAAAGAGATACGGCCTTCCACGAGCTTTGCAACGAAGCGGGGCGACAGCCTCGCCATGCTCTCAGTGAATGCCAGCTGACGGTGAAGCACCTTACGAGTCTGTCCTCACTTCCTCAAGTTCTGCCACTCCCGATGCCATGCCTTCAGCAAGCACCCTCACGCACACAATTGGACAGCGAAGTTGCTGAGGGAAAGGTATTATGAAGCACTCCTGACAAGCAGCCGTTTCCCCCCGCGGCCGAAGATCGTCGTCAAGCTAAACTGGGTGCTGCTCCAGCCGAAAGCATTGGGATAATGGGCATTGGTTGCTGTTGGCGACAATGACTGGTATGCAGCACTGCCTGTTTTGCTGTTTGAACGATCTTGCATTCGATGCTGAGGAAGAGGGTTTTTGTTGGAGCCGGCAGCAAAGCAGTTGGGGCATTGGCCACGTGGGTTGCGAGAAAAATACAATAGCAGATTGTGCGCAGCGAGCTTCACCCGGTCTGTAAAGTCTCGAAGTCACGTGTCGCTGGAATGGAGCCTTACCAAATTTCTGCCCTGTGTGAATCTGCTTGAATGGCTCTTGTGGTTTGCATCTCTAGAGACTCGTGCAACATCTCGTTCAGGAGGCAAGCAAACCCCTTGCCACCTATCTCCGAGTATAAACTTGGCCCTGAATGCACGGTTTTTCCACTGTTTGCAGCGCACGCCTCTTAATCTAGCCTGCTGTCCAGGTTGCGAGGAAGAGGCACGCCAAGGTCAAACAGTCTACAAACACTTCCAGTCCACCCTTGCAACTGTACTGCGCACCTCAGCCTGCATTACTGCAAGCCGCTTTGCCTGTACACCATACGTGGCATGCAATGCGTACTACGGGAACTCTCGCAGCAGGTGCCAACTTTTGGCACGCTGCAGAGACGGAGGTACTGAAAAGGCCTGGTCAATCAAGCTACACGGCATGCAAAGCTCAAGAGGTTTCTCATGGTTTTCCAAGGTTGGTGCAGTTTCTGCCAGGCATTTCTGCAGCCATCGCCTGTACATGTGGTGATATGTAGTGAGGATACCTCGAGATCTTGCTTTGGTCTTGAGGGATCTGCTGCCGAAAGCTCACAGCTACTCAGCCTGTTGGATCCTCGGCTACGCTCTGCTAGCACTCGACGGCGGACAAAGGTAAGGAACTGAGAGTGCAGGTTGGACCATGCTGCGCTTCGAGCTGCAGGGCTTTGCAGAGTCTACAGTGCCAAGTCCTTCAGACTTGGGGAGCAGACGAGTGGAAGCACAAACTGTTCACTTTGTTCGGATCTTAATGACTTTCCTATGGGCTGTTTACGGGCTTAGACCTCGATGCGTGCCGGGATTTCTGCATCGGCATGTCGCGAGCAGTCATCTTTGAGCAAAGTAGCGGGGACTAGTCGAATGAGCAGGATGCATCAGAATACCATCGTCGTTTGTCTCCAGCTTCGATCGGCCCTGGAACTTCTTTGCTGCCCAGTTGCCAGGTTGCTGGCGAGCCTTGAATCGTGGCAGCTGCATTGAAGGTGCGTAGATCAAATGGCAGTAGCTGACACGGGATGCTGTTCATACACATCCACGTCGTGCACCTGCACCGAGTGCACAGACTCACAGCGCCGCTTAGCAGTGCATTGCAACTTGCGTTGGCCCACCTGCCCCATTTGCGACACAGGTCAGCATACTCGGGGCATTTCTCCAGATCCACTTCTGCCGCGGAGCAGAGGGGTCCAGAGAAGGTCAGACCAGAGACTTTCATGGCCTGAAGGCAGCATCTCATTACGACACAGTTTAAATTACCTCCACCCTTCGCTTCATGAGCCTGACATCGACTAGCTGACTAGCTGTTGCAAGCGGCGGCGTCTCGAGGGCAGAAGCCGTTCAACATGATTTGCCAGGCCCAGGAATGCAGAATCTGCGAACCATGACCCAGTATGGTTTGCTGTGGCCTAAGATGCTATACTCGAGCGCCACAGACGACGTGTGCCATATGCATCTGCAGATACCTTGAATGATCTTGCATGCAACCGGGACACATACCAGCACCAAACTTGTAAAAGTCCTCCATTCACGTGGGGATGCGAAAAAACATCAAACGCTTGACGAATTGACGGAACAGGGTTTCTAGATGCTTGTCGTGTTTCCAGTGTTGGGATCGGGACGGATCGGGCTTGGGCTTTAAGGGTTTCGTTCGGCCTGGATTTGGGCTGAGGACTTTGGGACCACGGCATGCGCACAGGGGAACACTGCTGGAGGTCAAGTTGGGCTTCACGCTCGAGTTCGTGGATTTAATGCTGAGAGCTGCGATAGCTGCATGGAGACTGGCTGAGCCTTCTCGAGACTCTTTATGGCTCTCGTGGTGTTCAGAAGTTGGTTGACACAAATGCAAGCTTTACGTAGACTTAAACATGCTCCGATGGCAAGTGGCGAACATTCGCAGCCCTGCAGGCCCATCCAGATCTGTCATCCTCTGCCGCACAAGATCCTCGCCATTTCCAACATGCTCTGTCACATGGTCACCTGCAATGCACTGGTCTCGCTTGTCAAGGTGCATCGAAGTGCCCGAAGGATGCGCCAAGACCACCGCCGGCAGCACTCCTTATGCGGTCGACAGGCGGACAACAGACTGTCTGTCCTTGCTTTGTTCCACTTGCACACTCACTGAGAAACGTGTTGCACGCTCTGTGCTGTCGCCAGGACCTGGAGCAAGGTTTTGGCAACGACAGTAATTCGAAATCAGCAGAGCAGCCATGACTTCGTGCCAACGACGCAGCCGTGCCGTTGAGCTCGAACACTGCAGAAAGGCTTCAACCTCCGCTGACATTCTGCAGCACGACTGACACTAAATTGAAAGGGAAGTGAAGAACTCTCGGTTTCGACGGCTTGATCCCACGCACGATTCTCGGGCTGCATCTTCTTCTCACGAAGAATCTCTTCGTGCGCTCTTGGCTGCGCTCTTCAAGAGAGTTCAATGCAGGCTGTCGGATTTCAGCTTTTCCCCTGAAACGGTGGAGCTCTGGGATTGGCGTTGTCTGTGCCATCCCCGTGCTTGAAAAGCTGTGCAGACCTGGCGGTGGAGAACCGTGTCTTGATGGGCCCCAGTTATGCCGGCCTCTCCAGAGCCGTCTGCATCTCGGAATTGAAGCTTCTCACCGCCTCGTCTTCGCTGCACTCGAGCAGGTCCTTCGAGGTACTCAAACGTCGACTTAGCCGAATGCATAGAAGAAGTGTCCTACCGCCCCAACGGAAGGCCTGTCGCGGGCATTCATGCGTCTTGATGTAGTTGCAAATCGTGTACCAGGCTGACACCTAGCGGTATCATGCAGCAGCCGTAAAGTGACCTTCACAAAATGCTGCCCCGGAGACAGACTCCCCTGTAGTTCGTCCAAAGCACGAGGCAGGATTGGATCGGAGGAAGGAGCAAGGGCAACACTTGTTACACAAGACACTCCAGCAAACCCGAAATGTCACCTGGACGACCATTGCGACGTCTGCATCTGCCCAGTGCTGATCAGCTTGGACTAGATCGATGATCAGGGGAGTTGTGTCCTGAGCCACAGAGTCCGAGCAAGCATGAATTCATGCGATCGCACAAGATCGAAAGGGCTTCTGCAGTCTGCTCAGTTCGGCACCCAGAACCACCAGCAAAAGATGGTTATGCGCAACACCTCGAAGGCAGGAACGAATCAGTTGCACTTCCTGTGCTTCCCCCCTGCCATTTCATCATGTATCACCACGGCATGATGCCTGCGGCACAAGGGAATCTGGACATGATTTGTGGGCAGGTGTCACGACTTCTGCTACCGAGCTCACTCTGATTTGACAGTCCAGCCAACACCCTACGGCCAGACTAGACATGCATTGCGGTGCTTAGGGTCGACGAAAATAAAACCAAACGTCCTGAAGGGTACATCTCATATGCTAGCTGGTTCAACGGCCAAGTTCACACTTTGGGGCTTCAGCCAAAGATTTCCAATCCAACATTTCCTTTTCGGGTCGGCGGTATCCAACCCAACCTCCTCGGTTTAGGGCGTCGATGATATTGAATCGCCCTTTTCCGCTTCAGCGTTTGCCGCCTGAATTTCGATTTGAGGCTTTCGGGATTCCCATGTTTCCCAACCAGATCCAGCCAACATGTTATTGTAGGGCAAGCACGGGCAAAAACAGGAAAGCAGCTAGCTAGTGAGATGTTGCTAACATCCACTGCTCTCATCATGCAATTGTGTAGAGACAACAGCAACAACTTCGATCCCAAAATCTGCCCAGTCGCTGGACAGAGGCATGGCAGTCGCTAGACAAGGCATGACGCGATCCACTATAGACTATAATCAGGACATTAAAGCATGTCAATCCCCGCGCGTCTCGACAGAAAATTTTGGGTTATCGAGATATGGAGTTTCGGAGATGGGGATGTATCTTGCAGGTGTTGCATTTAGGGGTTGCAGAGAAGCGAGGTTCCGCGTCATGGGCTAACCGCACATGGTGACTTAGCATGCATTTGCTACCATGTTTTGATTCCACCACGTTGAAGGATCCACCTGCAACAGCTCAAACGCCTTCTTCTTCAATTCCATCTGTTCTACGAATTAGGCCTAGCCCGTGCAGGGTCGGAACCGTTGTGCGGACTTCTGCGTAAGATCATCATTTGCGGAGCCATGGATTTGTCCGCTCGGATCGACTCGTTGCACCACTCCTGGTCGGTTTGGAAAGCCAGCATATACGTATACGGTTTCAGTATTGTTGCGCAGAGGTGCATCACCCGAATTAGCCTGCTGGTTAAAGCATTATGCACAGTTTACGGTGCTACAGTGCCGTAATCAAAGACGGATATGAAGCTTGGAAGACCCCTTTGCCGCCGAAGAACGTCCGGACCGTGTTCCGGCAAGCCCGCCCAATGCTTCAAGACGTGTTGCTTGCAGCTCTCGGCAGCCTCCATCATGCCGTGCCTGGTAGGAACTGTTGGCTCTGTGGCATCCGTCGCATGCTTATGCCGAGATGTGCCGAGATGCTTTACTCCCTCACACGGATTTCCGACAGATGGCAATGCACTGTACTCCAGAATCTGCCCGTCTTGAATGAAGACATCGATGACCTAAGTTCTCAGAGGCGCGCAAGTGTTTATGGAAGCAGGCAGCATGCAATTAACCGAGGTAGGCTGGAATATACTGAAAGTACAGGATTGACTGAACACCCATCCGAGACCCTGCATGACCCTACCTCGACCCCGCAGAACGCAAGTGAACTGCATCACTAATTTGCATCCCGATCGACTGTCGCATGCTGTTTCTTGATTGATTTCAACTGTGCCTGCTTGTGTGCGGTGCATTCCGACGGCTGCTAAGCTGACTGACATCTGGGAAGGGGCGAATGCAAGCTGTCGGGGGGTTGCTGTGTCGCTAGATCTGTCTGCTTCATAGATCTTTTTCGTGCCTTCCATGTGGAAGTTACAGTTTCGGATCCAGGATGACACGGCGCTTGCTGAGCGCACTGGACATCCAAGGGGAAAACTTCGGCGACTTAAGCTTTACACAGCCCCCGAGCAAAGCAGCATCCCTTTTATTTGGCTGATGGCTCGACATGTGAAAGGTGCAGCCTTGCCGATTCAGCTAGGTGGCCGCTCGACCACCAAACCTTCCAGGGCGGATGCGATTTGTAGATGGTGCAGTCAGCCTCAGGCCACACTTCAACACAAGGCCTGAATTCTAACTGCAGTCCACATGTGTGCTTTGATCTTCCTTTCGGGTTCAGGTCGCTGCTATCATAGCAGAAACAGAGAGCCAGACATCATGAGCAGCGTGTGGAACATCAGCAAGCCATTTGATGCTCCCTGCCCATGGACTTTGTAAACTGAGTGCAATGACAAGCCGACAAGCTGAGGCTTCAAGCCATTCCATGCCGCAAGTTTACTGGGGCAACGCCCCATTGCCTGCAGCACCACCCAGCTGCCTGACCTGAGAATGGAAAGCAATCTCACTTCTTAGCAGGCACTCAGCACTGCTGATTCGAGGCTAGCTGCAAACAGCTAGTTGTGGCCTTGGCATCCCAGACCTCGTAACGGCAGCCTGATGGAGACGGCAGGTGTCTGCAGTCTCGTGTGAGCAAGGACACGGGCACGCACGGGCACGGACAGCGCCTGCATCCAGCACCCAGTGACTGTTCCAGGCCAGATGCCCCTCAACCTGCGCCAGCGGTGTATGGAACGACGGCTGAAGCTTTCGAGAAGTGCCTGTGGCACAGCACCATCGTTGCAGATTGGACGATCAAAGATCGGAAGCTCCCTGAGTGGCAGCACGAGGTATGTGAAGCACGTGGTGGCACTCGAAGCTCAGCCAGTAATCTACAAGGCTATCTGCCGTTCTTCAATCCGAGGCACTTTGCTGGTGTTCCGTGATCGATGCCACGCGTGGTGCTGGCATTCAGAATGAATGTGGTTGTGGTGTCTGGGGCTGGCATAGCTGTAGAAGTGGAAGTGGCAGTGGTGACAATGGTGGATGTGGTGGTGGTGGTGGTGGTGGTGGTGGTGGTGGTGGTGGCAGTGGTGGTAGTGGTGGTAGTGGGAGTGGTGGTAGTGGTGGTAGTGGTGGGAGTGGTGGTAGTGGTGTCAGTGGTGGTCGTGGTGGCGGTGGTGGATGTGGTGGTGGTAGTGGCCTTGATGGTGATGGTGGTTGCAGGGGTCGTGGGATTTGCAGTGTTGCTGGGTGGGGACGTGTTCCCCGAGATGGTCGTATCAAGGCTTGTTGTGGTGGTGCTTCTGCTGACGAGCACTGTAGTCGAGGTGACGGTCAGAAACGATTCTGAGAAGAACCACTTCTGATTGCTGCCTCCGTGGCACCACCACATGTACACCTCTCGTGACATCAGTTGAAGCATCTCGAACTGAACATGCACCACCACCGTCCTCTCTCAGCACACTCACATGGGTCGAAAGCACAACAAACAGCTTGTGCGATCAGGCCACGTTTTGAGTGTTGTAGTTGTAGTCCTTAGCCATAGGGTTGCCGCCACTTCGGAAGCCACGTTTCTTGCAGCCGAGGTGCCATGCATTTGTCATCCCACATGGTACGGAGACTTTCCCCACTGAAGTACCTTTGCTGACGTTCTGAAGGTCTGAGAGCTTAACAATTCGGAGGGCTGCAAAGCCTTAGCACCCAAGCTCCGGCCAGGAACCACTTCTGGTTGTCGTGCTCGTGGCAAGCATACCTCGATCCGCACAGACTCGAGATTAGATTGGCGCGACTGTTCCACAACGTCGTTTCTAAGGGCAAACCAGAGCACAAGCAAAAACTGCCAGGTAGCATATGCACGTTGCCGTTGAAATGGTCATAATCAAGGCACTTGTCGCTGGCCTCTGCACAAGGACTCCTACTAGTATGTGCTGAAGAACTTGAAGGAAATGTGGCTTCGGGCACGACTGTGACTCGCAAAGAACCAATTGAGCGCGCGGCGAGGGACTTTATGCGAGAACCTTCGAAGTAGAACATCCTCACCACGACCGGCATGCTTGCTGACACAGTGACTGTCCCTTTGATGCCGGTGCCCATGGTCGACACGTGAACTCGTGTAATATCAGCACAGGTATAGGTCCAGGTAGGTCTATTCAATCCAAGGACTGCCGATCGAGCGCTTGACAGACACTCATGTACCTGAGTTCAAAATACGTCAGCACCGTCTGAATTCATCCCGTAAATCATTCAGTATTGGCAGAGGATGCCAGGTGCGACCATGTAGCACGTTCCCATTTTCCTCGATATCGAGGCATCGCTGATCGTGTCTTGTCTGTAAATGCTGCACCTCGCCTTGAACAGATCGTTTTCATGCCAAAAAACAAGACAAAGCTTGTGAGGCTGAGGGTCTTGCGGCCCGTCGGAGTGCCGAAATCTGACATGCGCCAGCCCTGCAAGAGGACTTGCAGGCAACCGTATGCAGTTTCCGTGTGCGTTGGACACGAATACGACTTAATTTGTAGGGACATACAGGACAGCTGGGCAAGTTTAGCCGGGATGCCAGGAAGTGGCCTGCTTACTGTAGGTTTTGCCCTGTTCACATTCTCATGCACAGGCTCTTCACTTGATCTAGAATCCACAAGTACAGGATGCAGGGATGAACTGCCGTTGAAAGTGTTGCGCAGCTCCAGCTTCTTGCGAAGCCGGCGGGTCGCGTGGAACAAGTACTCCCTGCTTCGCCCTGGACCGGGCAGTTTTGCGGTGAAGCTTGCCTTTCCCGTCGCGCCAGGACGGGCTAGAGAAGGCCGAAGCTTCAGCTGAAGCAAGAAAGAGCAAGCGGTTTTACCGAAGAGCAGCGCAAGCACCGGACAGGTCTTCGAGTGCTAGCAGGTTTCCGTGGCCGAGTGCCTTCCGCTTCCTAGCGCTGACATCCCCCGCATCTGGCCCCGGCAGCATGAGCAGCTCCTCAATGTGCTGTGTGAGGCGAGCGGCGGCCACCGCACGCGCAAGGAACCGTTCAGGTGGGCAGCTTGGGGCACGTGCCGGGGTCATGGCCATGATTGCAGCAAGGCTCGCACAGCTCCTGGGCGTCTCAAGCGCGGGCCCAAGCATGGCCGCTGAATGTAAAAACAACCCGGCAGCGTTTGCCCGGCTTTCAAGGTGATCGCGTCGTGTCTTTGCCGGAATTGGCAAAGCCATATAACGTAGCACTGACCTCGATTCAAAGGTCGAGGCAATGTTTGTCTCGGCGAAAGCGATGAGCTGCTTCCAGCGCCAATAAACGATGTCCTTCTTTGTCAGAACCTGAACCAAAGATGCCAGGCTTTGGTCAAGAGTCGCTTGGCCTCAGCGTTGATGTGACGGAACTCGACAGCAGATCCATGGCCTGTTGTCGCTGGTAGTGCCGAACTTGCTCACCTGAGGCGTGGTTTGGGTATGGACGTGGAGACCTGGAGGTCGGAGATGGAGGGCAAGCTCGGCGACCGCTTCGCGACGGACGACCTCGGCGACGGAACCTCGGCAGGAGACCTCGACGGGACGCCGTTGGTCACAGCAACTCGGCAACAGGACCTCGATGACGAGACCAGATTGGGCAACAGGGCATTAGCGAAAGGATATTGGCAACGAGTTATAAAACTGAGTGGACGAACATGCAGGATTTTCGATCTTTGTAAGACAGATGAGATCTCAACGGCAAGAACTCAGCGACTAGGCTTCGGTCACAGCACCTCGGTCAGAGGACAGGCGCGCTCTTCGGAATCTAGCCGATTGGACCTCGAAAACCACCGGACCTTGGCGAGAAAATATTGCTTATGAAGAGAAATACAGTTGAACAGGCGTCTTAGTAAAACAATGTAAAACAGAGAGTTGAATGCGTTTATTAGCAAAACTAGGTGGTTTTGCAAAATAGACAGCAGAAAGGGTTTTGCTGACCTTAGCAACAAGACCGCGGCAACAGGATCTCGGCGAAAGCAGCTTCGGCGATTGAGAGCCCTGGTGCGTACGACGGAAACATGGATCCTGCACTGTCATCTACGGAATAGCGACAAAGGCGGTCACATGTGAAGGGCCTTCAACTGCAGGCCTAGGTCGGCCAGCCACGAAGTGGGGCGCACGAGACCCCAGAACCAGGTCGCAAGAGGGCGGCTCATTCCATGGCATGGATACTCTGAAAGCCGCACTCAGATCGGGCAGCTTGCTGATTCCACGCGGAACCAGCGCAGCGCACGTTTTGGTAGAGCAGAGGCCCGATGACTATTCTGATGCCTGTCAGCGAGCCCCAAACTGCCTTATTGGAAAAGCATTGCAGAAATGATCAGAAGCAACTCTCGTCCTGATGCACTGTCATGTGTGCTCATACCAAGTTCTCCACCGCCACTTGCATGCCATCCACCGTTGGGATACAGATCGATCTATGGAATGAGGGATTTCGCGCACGTGGTCAAATCTCAAGTGTCAAAAATATCAGAGGAAGTTCGCCGGTGGGCAAAAGGGGGTGGCGACACAAACGTGCACCGCTTCCTGCCTAACTTACCCCTGGCTCTTCGTCACGGTCAGTTGCCTCCCGCATGGCGAGGCTTTGCTTGCTCGAGTGAAGCACGCCGGCCTCACACGCAACAAGTTCAGGATGCCAAGGACCCGTGCTGCACTGCAAAGTGTGATCACATCTGCAAGAGTCTGCGATTCAAGATATTGCTCCAAACGCCTGCTGAAGTAGGACGAGTGGAGACGGAGGAGCATTGTCCTTGCGTGATTAGCTAGGCCGAGACAGACAGATCGAGTTCCTGCTTCAGCTACCAGTACTCTGCCTTCAGGGTGTCCATCGACTTTGCCAGGTATGCCTGTGAGACCTGTGAGACATGGGATGATTCGCCATTGCTTGCAGCACCTCGCGCTTCAGCCTGAGTGAGGACAGGGTAGCAGAGAAGAGGCCATGTGTGCCGGAGTAGTGCGAGAGCCATCAGCAAAATACTGCGGAGCTTCTACGAAGTGGCGCCTTGTATGATTCAGGCATACACTAAAGCTGACGTCTGCAGCTCTTCGATAGCCGTAGGTCGGGAAGACTTCGTCATGCACATGATGTTAGGCCATTGCTTGCCATTTAACATGGCCTTTGGCCGAAACCCTTATATGGAACACTCGGGAAGAAAGGCAAGGCTCCGGTCCAGATAGTTCTGGCAGACAAAACAGAATCGAAAGACCGGAGGTTCTGATTGCATAGCTGAAGGATGGTGGAAGAGTGTCAAGACTCGAGCTGGCGGTTTATTTTTCCCCGTACGCCTCACACCGGACGGGAGGCTGCTGGCCTGCACATTCGAATTGGTATCACCAAAAAGGGGGCAGATCTAGCAACTGGCGACTGGAGATAACTAAAAGAAGAGTCCAAGCATGAGGTTTCCCATCACGCTACACCTGTCTCCGTCCCCAGACATGCCCGCATAAGTTCCAAAATCTCCGGAGTTGCCGCCGCAGGATGTCTCAGACTTGACGGCAATGACGAGTTTCACAACGAGATACCACACTCATCAACTTGTAGTAAGGCTGGGATTCAATGGCGACCGCGCGTCGTGGCAGCTTGCAGAGGCTTCCGGCAGAGAGGCGGAGCGTTAGGCTAGTTGTGGTCATGTTTGCACCGTGCTATCGCAATTCGTGCTGAGCGCGGAAGGAACCCAACTAGCTGTCGGCCTCCGAACATTAAAGATTGCCAGAAAGAGCCAGCCGCTATGCGAACTCGCACCAATTTTTGGTGAGCCGCAGGAAGCCCGGCAATAAACACTTTCTGGGGCAGGTGACACTCCAAATCACACCCTGAGCTGCACTCCAGAGGCGCATCTGCCAACTATGACCATTCTATCTACTGTGTAATTCCCACCCATATCAACGACGTCGGGGTACTGTGCGCAGTCAGGTTTCTCATCTGCACGGACAAGTCTGTGCGACCATGCATCGGTGGCCGCACAGCATTCTGTGCCTGTCCCCCTACGCAGTAATTAGCCTGAAATACATGGCTCGAACCTTGTGTCTACAGACTGCGAATTGCAAGGAGGAAGGAGGGCAGCAAGCAGCTTCACCAATGTTGACCAACGTCTACGGCTTGCAGCAAGTCCTATATATGAGTATATGCTATGAGCTCGCAAAAAGGTTGCAACTCAGATAAGTTGCGCTGTGTACCTGCACAGCATCGAATCTAATCGGTCCCGCCCGGGCAGTCTCAAGCTCGTCGCGAGCTCCCTGACCGTACCAAGCTCAGGCTCCGGCGTCATCTCGCTGCCTTCGCCTGATAACAGAATAGCTCCACCATGCTCGTCTTGTTACGTCCCAACTCGGAATTGGGCAGGTGCCTTCGGCGATGGGCACGGAGAATTCGCAGGACTCTCCACATTCAAGGTACCTGCAGCCTTAGCCGTGGTAGTGACATGCAACTGCGTCAGTCTGCCTGCTGAGCTGGCTCGAGATGGGTAAAGCAAGCCGGACAACAACTTGATCCCAACTGTCTCCACAGTTCATCAAATCCTTCAGTCTCTCCTGACATCTGTAGGTAAGGTTTTCAGACGACTGAAGGTGTTCTGTGGGGTGTCTTGCATGACACCGCAGTTGCGCTGCCCCATAATTGCTGCAAGTTGCGACGAGCGCTGGAGAGGAGACGCCACGAGAAAGGCCGGGCAGCGCCACGTCCTTCTTGGCTGGTGCCTGGCCGCGAAGGCTGTGGCGGGGCTGTCCGCAGGGTCCCGGGATTCGCAAACGGCTTCCACCTTCTGCTTGTCGAGCTTTGGCCTGAGCACAGTCCAAACAAGCGTCTCCTGGCTTACAAGTGGTCTTCACTCAGCTCATTTCTACTTCTCCAACAAGCTGCGCGGGCAACGATGGAGTCTGCCATGTTATTTTGGTCGTTACATCGAGACTCGGGCGTTTTGGGCACTCGCAGCGAACCGGGCATTACGGGACCGTCCTGGTTGTAGCGAACCTCTGGGCATCGCAACTTGAATTGTCACATTATTGCAACTGGACTTCATTTTGTGGCGCATGTGGCGCTCTAAGCCGTCGGCGAAAGCAGGAGCTGTGGCCCTCTGAGCCTCCTTTTGCAGCAGGACGAGTCGGACGAGTGGCACAAGAACTTTGGTTTAACCGCAGCTCAGGCGTCCTTGCGTACCTCCTTGCCCCCGTGGGTGGTGTACCAGTCCTCGAGCAAAGCGACAGAAGCTTGGAAGCTGGCGCGTCTCAGTGGCATTGGTGCTCAGTGTGAGAAAGTTGGCTCGAAAGATGGCGAGAATCAAAGATCTTGTCGAGGTGGTTGCACCGCGCCTCAGAAGTCTGGTGGAACGCCGGCGAAGAAAGCAAGATCGTAGAGACCGGTCTGGAGGTCGTTTTTAAGTTACGGGCTTGGTGTGCAAAGTCCTGACGACGTTGCAACAGCACAGCTTGCTTGCACTTTAGATCCCCCGCATCGCTCCCTGAGGCGTTCGTCACCATCCAACTCCATGTTCAACATCAGGCGCCTTAAAACAGCTGCTGAGACTGTAGCTCTCTTACCTGTGCTTGTTGACCTCAGGCAGCCAACGAGGTCCCAACCGCAGCGAGTTGTCCATCTTATTGCGCCACTGCAGGCGCGTCTCGGTTTGACTCCTGTGAAGGTCGTACGCTCTGCATGTCAAGCAAAGTACGCAGTACTCAGTGCAAGCATTTGCATTTGTCCTCACTGCAGTGCCAGGCGAAACAGGCGACTTGGAAGGCGAAGCCTCAACTCTGCATACGCTCAGTCAAGCGGTGACAATACGGTTGCTTTTCACAGTCGATGAGGCTTGTCGATGTTCCGTGCTAGTACAACCGGATACAACCGGACTTCCACGAGAAGGAGGCGCTGTTAACCTATTCCGGTGTCAATCGTACGTGGGGTTATACGACAATTCAGGTTGCAAGTCTGTACGCACTTGTTGATCTGCACTGCAACCCCTGACCGTATCATTGACAGTGTCAACATCGAGCATCTCTGGTCAGGGTGTTGGGAACCCGTCACCCCTCTGCTTATCAATGCTTCTGAGGATCAGGGCGACTCCAACAAAAGCCTCCCACTCGTGCCACTTCTACCACTTGCACCACTCGCCCCGCGGATAGCACCACTTGCGAACCAAGACTACCAAGATTACAATTGCCAATATATCTCCCCCCCCTCCCCACCCCTCAAAAAGTACCGGGCTTGCCCCTAAACTCTACCCTGCATCCTAGCCCCCAAACGCAAACCCTTGAACCCCTGAACCCTACAATACCCGAAAAACCCTGAACCGATGCGCGTGCGCCGGGCGCGTGGAAGCCTAAGACTCTAAACCCTAAAACCCTATACCCGCAAGCCCTGAACCCGGAACCCATACCCCTAAACCGATGCACGCTCCGGTTTAGCACACCTAAACCCATCCCCAAACCCCAAAACCCTCTAAACACTGAACCGATCGGCTAACCCTCGACATCCCTCAACCCTAACAACCTTGACCCGTCGACGCTAAAACCCAAAGCCCTGAAGCTTCAGCCGAAAACCCAAAGCCCTAAACCCTAAACCGATGAATGCGCGTGCCGGGCGCGCAACCCTAAACCGTAATCCCCAAGTAAAACCCTAAACCTGTGAACCCTACAACCCTAAAGCCCCGAGGCCTAAACCCTTAAACCCGAAACCCAAACCCTGAACCAATGCACGCGCGCGACCCTAAACCCGAAACTAATCCCTAGGTAAATCCTCAAACCCATAACCCCCAAAGCCCTGAACCCGAAACCCAAAACCCAAGCCCGTAAACCCCTACAACCTGAACCGATGCGCGTGCCCAAATATACCATACACATTCTATATCTATCTATCTATCTATCTATCGATCTATCTATCTATCTATCTATCTATCTATCTATATATCTATCTATCTATATCTATATATATATACATATATATTTAT